GATAGGTCCTTGGTGTGAGTGAGCTATATCCACCCTGAAGGTTAATCTTGGACAATATCTGATGATCGACTCTTTTAAATGAAACCAGAGAGYGTTGACAGAGAGGAGAAGGTAGAAATGACTCAGCCTGTAACTGAAAATATGGATGGAGGACAACAGAGCTGCTTCATGGAAGAAGAACCTCAACAGAGTTGACAGTAACATTTTAAACAGAGGTCTCATACAATCTGTTCTGGTATCAGTCTCAGATAATATCATCCCAAACTTTAGGTCAATATTTTACAGTATCTACCTCTACGATATGACAAGCCAACACATTTAAACATTACGTTCAAATGCACTCTTGCTTAGATTGTGTGCCAATGTGCAGTTTGGTGGGTTTAAAGTCAATTTTCTTTGGTATTCCAGCCTCTATTTAGACATATTTGTTTGCAACTAGTTGCACTTAGTTATAGTATCAACTGGTCAAGACAGCAAAGTGAAGTCCTGGTTCAGACAGCAAGTCTACACTCTGATAAAGAGACTCCTGCAGACTCACCTTGCTGCCGTCGACATGAGTTAAAGCCAATTATATTGATACAGAGCATGTATCACTATAAATAACTGGCAGAATGTTACACATATGCTAACAGCTGACAGCTGACCTTTTTTCCATTCCAGACACCCACAAGAGGGAATCATGGCTGCAACTACATTTAACTGCAGCTGGCAGCGTCGAGATGCAAAGATTACAGCGCTGATGAATATTAGCCAACTTGCAGCCGCTGGGTATTTAGAAGCAACTCGCCCCCATTGATTTCCCTGCAGGGTGAAGACAACTTTATCCCCGTGGCAAGTCGCAGGCTTATCTCAGCCGACTGCGAGGCAGCCTGACAGACGGGAACCACTTTCCTGGCCCCGTTTCAGGACAAGTCCTAGGCTGGCAGGTGCGAGCGTGATACCTGACTGCGGTGAAAAACACAGACAGAGGGGAGGAGCGGCCATAAGAGTGGCGGGATATTTGTGAAGTGGACAAAGCCGTCCAGCTGTGATGGGGTGTCCGCGCGCAATTAACACCAAGTCAAGTGTGCTGGATTATTACAGGGAGCAGGTGGCTGACAGAGGCAGGTTAGAGTGTGAGGGAACCCTGAGAAAAAGGTGGCAGATGGGTTTAGARCTGGAAGCACTCGAACTCAAGACAAGAAGTAAACAGAGGATGACTTATCAGAGACTTTGATTCTGTTTATGTCTGTCATGCATTACAGGGCGGTGACTGTGTAAAAAGAACAGCTTCTGTAAAACTGTGAGTTAAAGCTATTTTGAGTTTGCTAAGGCTGATTAGTTGTGGCGTCCATCTTGAATGTGGTTGACTCTCAAAGCTGCTGAGATGGAAGTGTACATCCTGTCGGGTTGGTCGATATTATTATGTCATCACCACGAGGTACTACGGTAAAACGGTAAGGTGCCTTCTCTAGGTCGGGGAGGAGGTCCTGCCCCAAGTGGAGTATCTCAGAGTCTTGTTCATGAATGAGGGAAGAATAGAGCGGGAGATCGACAGGCGGATTGGTGCTGTGTCTGCAGTGATGCAGGCGCTGTACCGGTCTGTCGTGGTGAAGCGAGAGCTGAGCCAGAAGGTGAGGCTCTTGGTTTACCAGTCGGTCTACGTTCCTACCTTCATCTATGGTCATGAGCTTCGGGTAGTGACCGAAAGAACAAGATCACAGATACAAGCGGCCGAAATGAGTTTCCTCTGCAGGGTGTCTGGGCTCTCCCTTAGAGATAGGGTGAGAAGTTCAGTCATCCGGGAGGGACTCAGAGTAGAGCCGCTGCTCCTCCACGTCGAGAGGAGCCAGTTGAGGTGGCTCGGGCATCTGGTAAGGATGCCTTCCTGGACGCCTCCCTGGTGAGGTGTTCCGGGCATGTCCCACTGGGAGGAGGCCCAGAGGAAGACCCAGGACACGCTGGAGGGACTATGTTTCTCGGCTGGCCTGGGAACACCTTGGGATTCCCCCAGATGAGCTGGACCAAGAGGCTGGGGAGAGGGAAGTCTGGGTCTCTGCTGAGGCTGCTGCCCCCAAGACCCGACCCCRGATAAGCAGCAGAAAACGGACGGACAGACCACGGGGTACTAATCGCAAAGTGCCAAATATTAATCAGTGACTGTTTTTTATTGCACGCTATATGGTAAAGTCCAATCACTTCATAATTAATGGCAAAATTTTAGGTAAAGAACTTSAATAATGTATGACTCTTGGATTGTGTGTTGGGAGTGACTCTCAGCTAACACCACACCAAATTGTAGCTCGGTATCTGTGAAGCATATACAGCAGAGTTACAGCCAATAAGACTGATCAGCTGGGGCAGCCATCTTGATCTGTTGTAGATGTTCATCCAGTGATAACTTTAAAAGTTTCATTCAAGTTCGTCTTTTGATTTATGAGATGTTTTGCTGAAACTACAGACAAACTAACGGAGGAATGAAGATTCCTCCGTTATCGGCCACCTTTGGCCTCGTGGTGGTGAGCTCAGTCATAAATTAAATCTCAGGCAGAGTCAGTTACTTTGATGCTGTGAGGAAAGGATTAGCGCTGATATGAAAGCGTCAGTACAATTTACAGAAGGCATAAACATCACAGCAACTTGGTTTTCTGTTTCTACATCCGAGTCTCTGATCATGACTGGATAGTATCGATGAATAAATATTTAAAAAACAACAACTTTGGTGATGAGGTAAATATGTTTGGGTGCTTTTTACCCTGACTGACGCAGATGAACTGTACACACACAGAAACACAAAACAAACACAAAGAATCTCTGATTTAGTTTCATCTGAGATTAATTTCTTCAAAGCTCTGCTGGAAGCAGAGCAGCATGTAGACGGCCTTCTGCCTCAGTAATCCATCACATTCATCCTCAACAATAAGAAAAACCTGAGGCCATGTAAAGCAGACAGACCGCTATCAATAGTGTGAAACACAAACACACAAAGTGAGCTGCAGGTCATCATTATTTCTGACTTAATGTCCCCAAATCAGAAGGGACCACGCAGCCGGGGGTCCGGCAGTCAGACGCTGCTCATTCGGGAACCACCTGCTTCAAGTGGGGGTGTGTGTGTGTGTGTGTGTGTGGGGGGGGTGCAGTATGTAGCTAACTGCTACATACTTAAGTGAGCAAACATCAAACAGCTTAGTTTATTTTCATCAGATTCATCTAATTAGATTCATGTTTATAATCTGGTTTTGTTGACTTTAAGTTGTTTAAAAAATATTTAACACCAATTTCTGCTGGTTTTGGAAAGAATTTTCCAAAAATGGCTGGGTTAAACAGAATCAACTTTAACAAGATTATCTTCCCTCTTTGTTTTTCTCTCATCAATGTACAGGGTGAATCAAAAGTCTCAGGACACCTTTTTAGTTCAGGAACAAAAGGGAAAATAAAATATAAGGATACCCTTATATTAAAGGGTATCCTTATATTTTAAAGGGTAAAAGATAAAGGGTGCAGGGGTCTATCTTTTAGGCATTGTCCAGAACACGGCCACCATATTGAYAGTACTGCTGCAGTATTCAGATATTTTATTTTCCTTTTTGTTTATGAATTAAAGTGGTGTCCTGATACTTTTGACTCACCCTGTAAAATCAGGATTTAAAGTTAAACCTGATCAGAGCTCATCACATCTGTTTGCTTTTCTAGTACTTCATTTGTGTATAGGGCCATTTACACGTGTACTTGTACACAATCTTTATTGTACAAAATGCATTTTTTTAGTTGCCAAGCTTGTTTCTATTTGTCAAGTGTTTTTATCCTTCTAGTCAGTGTGTGACTGTCTTTATAAATTAAATCAAGTATTTTCAGCTCACATAAAAACTTAGATTTGTAATCTAATGTCTCAAACAAAATGTTCTGAAGCAAACAAGATAAAGACAAAGCTCTTCACCTCATTGTCTTAAAGACAGAAATTATAGTTTGATCATACAATAATGGATCAAATAAATTGATACTGAATCTAATTTAACATTATGTTCAGCTGATACACAATTAAATAAAAGGTATTTTATAAAAATGTAAAAACACTTGTGATCAGTGTCTAATCCTGAGTTAGTCTTGTGATTTAAAAGGTTGACAGGTTTGGGGAGGTCTGGGATTTCATCAACTTTTGCTTCATCTGAACATTCTGCTCTGCTTTAGCAGCACGGTGAYGTCCTGAAATGTATTTAAAAAAACAAAATAAATGTAAAAAAACAAACTTCGGTGCTTTGAAAGGGGCTCAGGTGCTCATCTTCCTCAACATATAAATTCATGTTTAGATAAAACTGCTCCCAAAAGACAACTAACAATATTTGTTTGTACATTTTCGTAGCCTCAGATGGGGAATGGACTGCGCATCATTTGGCCCAGATGTATTCCTGTGGTTCTATTTCACCGTMTGCTCACATTACAGAACCTGAACAATCCACCGAGGAGTTTAATAACCAAGCAAACTGCACAGAGAGAAGACGAGCCTCGTTTTTCTGTCGTTTGTTGAAAAGCGGTTTCACCGCAAGGCAGCCTTCACCTTGTTAGCATTCAGCTCCCAAGATGGTGATCCAGGTGTTAACTCCTAAAAACTAATAATCAGAAGGCTCACTGCTAATGYTCCAGCAGCTGTGAACAGATGTTTGCATTTCGAAATCATCTCGTCTGATCAGACACGCTTTGAGATATCGATTGTTTTACCTTTAAAGCTTCTCATCAATTTTGCAGTCTTGCCATCTTCTTAGTAAAAATTGATTTTTTTTAACAAATCTAATTTGCACACTATGGGTTCTTGGTGAGCAGCATACCGTGGTCCAAGATGATGAGCTGGGCGCTCGACTGAATGTTTCCTGCATCGTTTTCTGCCAGACACTGATAGAAGCCCTCGTCTGACTTCACCAGACCCAGAACCTGCAGGTTGTGCTCTTTCTACAAGAAAACAAAAGAAGAAAACAAATATTTAACAGTTTTTATTACAAGAAACAAGGCAAAAATTAAAAAAAAAAAAACAAAACAAAATAAAAAACTTGTGTACAACTGAACTRGTGATATCTTTATAGCACACCTATCAAACTCAAGGCATGTGGGCCAAATGTGGCCCCCCAWAGCATTTTATATGACCCACAAGAGCTTCAAAGGTGTAATAATTTCTTAAGATACAGTAATGGTGCGTATTGCACATTATTTCACAGAAAACACATTACTTATGCGAGTGATTAAACATGCACAAAAAAAATTAAGAAAGATAATTAACAGTAAAAGCTACAGAGTTAACATTCTAAAGTAGCCGCCATCTTGAAATTGAAATTGGGGGCAGTTTCATTTGTTCCACTGTACGAGTGGAATATTCCCACTGGAGGAGGCGTTCCAGTTTAAATCTGCCAGTGGGAACAGGGAAATTACCACTTCCCAGGACTACTGGAACACAGCACAAGTGTAAGATGCTTTAAAACCAGCACTGGCCACAAACTACACCTCCCATAATGCATGTTGATTATTTTACCCACAAAAAGACAGCATCCCACCACTAGGTGGAGGTGCACAAGGTTCAAAAGTAGCCAGCAACCAGCAAAATCTGGTGTGTAAAATCTCCATTTCACTGCATTTTTGACGTCTACTTTTGCTGTGGCCCAGTTACACTGGRAAGTGGGAATTACCCACTTACAAGTCRTAAACGGAAACTGTAACACCCCCTCCAGTGGGAATTCCCTGTAGGAAAATGGGAGAGTTCAGAATTCAAGATGGCAGCTACTCACCACAACTCAGTGAGTAAAACTCTTCAACTTTTTAATAGTGTTTCTGTTTTATTTATTTCACATTTACTCAGTCGTACTTGTAGCAGTTTTCAGTGTTTATTAGAAGACCTGTTAAAACACTGATTCTATGCAGGAAACACCAGGTAGAGCTCAGTTATTGTTAGTAGGTCTGAACTTGTATAGGGCTTTTTGAAGTCCTGTCGGACTCCAAAGCGCTTTACGCTTACATTCACCCATCCACACACACATTCACACACTGATGGTGGTAAGCTACATTGTAGCCCCAGCTGCTCTGGGACAGACAGGCAAAGATGAGGCTGCCATGCACTGGGGTCACCAGACCCCTAACCACTCTGCCACAGCCGCCCTCAAGCTAAACACAAAATGCGGAAGTTAATTACAAGCGGCCCTCTGAGGACCACCGTGATGCTCATGTGGCCCTCGGTGAAAATGAGTTGTGTTGTGGCAGGAAAGCGAGCACCAAAATAAAACTCACAACGATCTTGAAATAGTCACTGGGGATGACAGCGTCTCCGTTTTTGACCCACTTGACGGTGGGAGCCGGTGAGCCTGACACCTCGCACTCGAAGACGATGTCCATGGACTCGTGAGCGTAMGTGTTGGCCGGACGCTTGACGAACTGAGGAGGAACTGTGGAGAGCAGGAGAAAGAAAAGGTCACTTTCACTCTTTCAGTCAACACTAAACAGATGTTTTAAATGCTCCACGCTTTTATTACACACTTATATCACAATTTACATAATTTACACTCCATATGCAGCGCACTTATATTCTCATTCACCAACCATGTAAGAGTATGAGGTAGTTTTCAAGATGCACCCACTTTGTAAGAAGAAAGACTGAAACAAAATGAATCTAATTTATCTGGAAAGTAAAAAAAATACAGAAAATAAAAACCCTTGAGATTTCCATAATCCTCTTACTTTTCTTCRTGGTAAATTATCATGCTGATTTAAAAAAATAGTTTGTTTTTGTGACATTTTTTTCCCTATACTGATTCTTTAGACTGAGTGTTCCAAAAAGAAAAGCTCATCAAATAAAATCTAAACTTTGCTAAAACAATAGCCGACTCCCTCTGGTTATTCAGAAATGGAGGGAAACAAAAGCAACAAAACAAACTGAAGCATCACTTTYAGAACCACAGAAATAAATTATAATCTGTGCAGAGAAACTCAATAAGAAGAAGACTTGTGGGTTTCATTTTATGGCAGTAATAATGGCTGAAATTAATCTCTTCACTTTAAAAACAACAACAGTAAAAGAGGTTTGGATAAAAACAAAAGAGGACTTGGCAGAACTTTTMAAAACTGTTACGGCCAGAGGTCTTTCTTCTRTGTTTATACTAAAGCATGGAATGACATTCCTCAAAGCATAAAGCCCATTTCAAAACTRCAGCCCTTTAAGAAGAATCTTGTCTGCCATCTGCTGGACACTTTTTGTTGTGCTCATATTTAGACGTCCTATTTTGCAAATGCTGCCTTTTTGAAATTTGGTATGCTTGTTTGTCTTTGTGTCTATGGTGTATAATGATGTGATTGTGATGCTGTATGTCTGAGTGTTTTATGTGCTGCAGAACAGGAACCTGCTGTAAAACAGCAATTATGCTGAGTCAGGCTTGATTTTTAATAATCCTTTCCTGTTAAATAAATAAATCAAATCAAATCTATCAGAAATATTAATTTCCTTTATTATTTAGAGTTTAGTGTTTTATTGGTATTAATAACGATTTAAAAAGTTATTTATCTCCTCYATATATTCTTTATTTCTTTATAAAAATGGAAGTGGCTTATTGTTACTGASCTGTAATGTTTCTTCATCTGTTATTCATTTCTTTAATTTCTCACAATCAGCCTTACTGCAGAATTACTTCCATCTCTGCAGACTTTTTTTCTTTTTTTACATGGGTTTACAGTGACACATATGGACATTGAGCCATCCTACGGTTTATAAATCAGATTTGTCCATAATCATCTTTTGTCCTTCTTTTAACATGTGGCCTCTTCCAGCCTCTAAAGCAGGACTATTCAACTGGCGGCCCGCGAGTGAACGAAGGTCGGCCCGGTTCATTCATCTCTTCAGTCCAAACTCCCAGTTTTCTACTTTAATTACTCTAAGTTCTTTTAGTTAGACATAGACATGTTTGGTATCTATAGCAACATCAGAGTTTTGTCTAGAAGCTGGTAAAAACATTTCTATGAACACTCAAGACAGTTAAAATTACACAGTTGAATATAAAATGATGAAAGTGAAAATAAAATTGGTTTAAAAATTTGGTAAGTCAGAGATGTCAAAATACTATTTGTTAAATATGAGGCATAATGTGCTCTTTTTGTTTTTGTTTAATTATCACTACTTTTATAGGGTTCTGTATGTTGTATGCATGATTAAATGCAACAAAATAAACTATTTCAAAAGTAACAGATCTTTGTAATACTTAGTTTATTTACATAATGACTTTAATTGCTGGATGTTTGGCCCCTGAGATGTTGACCTGCAGTAACTGTGGCCCCAGGAGCAGTTTAGTTGAATAGCCCTGGTCTAAAGCTTTCCTCCAGTCAAGACAGAAACATTTTGTCATCTTCAGCTCATTTGATGAMAAAGGAGTGGATCAGCACTCTAAAACTGGAGTGGAGTCATTTTGCCTCACAGCACTACAGGGGCTTCAGTGTCCTGCCCAAAGACACTGTGGCAYGACCTTTGACTCAGACAACCTCCCTAAAACTGGGCCCACATCGCCGTCTCTAAAACCAAAAGCATCGCTCAAAACACGCCATGCTCCCACTTTAAATGCACAAACAGCAAAATTTGATTGTTCCCTAAAGCTCCGTRCAGAACCACGTCGCCTTCAGCACATGGAAACAGTTACAGAGCCTGGTCAAAGGGCTGAATAACCTATAGTCACGTTTGCTCAGAAGAACCGCCTCTTCGCCACCAGGACAGTGGGGTATCACGCTACGCTGGCTCAGCAGAGTACTTGGAGACGTCTAAGACCTGGTAATGAGGGGCAGAGAGGAGTTATTCAATCTGCTGGGGGGATACAGCGCCTCATCAATCTGTCCTGAAACAAGGTCAGACCCGGGCCTCGTCCTCTGCCTGTAATTGGACCGTGTGTGCCGTGAGAGGAACACGTGTGTTTGTGTGTTTGCAGGTGTGTGCGTGACTCTGCACACGCACACACCTCTGTGYATTCTCAGATAAGCAGCGACCCCGCTGACCACAATTTACACAACTGGATTATTGGTGTGTATCTGSAGCTTTCCCACCATCCTCCTGGGCTCTCTGAGAGCTACTTATTAGCATCTATTTTGTGGTAATTCACATGAGTTGATGGGTTATTAGTAGCAGAGAGGAAAGCTGCGTTTTTGGCTTGCTGTGGTGTAGCAGCAGGTTTAAGGTCAAGTCTTTAGCACCTGCAYGATGGAGCAATTTACTCTTACGTACGTCAGAATAAACAGCCAACCTGCACTTGATTCTTTCATCAAGCCGGAGCAAAGAGGAACTTTCTTCTCTTGCTGCAGAACACTACAACAAGCTCACACTTCTCTGACCTGAAAGTGCACTTTGCACATCTGGTGGGGATTTCCCTGCTCCGCTCACACCACGTGGAGCGAAGCTGCGAGCAGAGTTACAACCTGAACCAGAACACAGGTCTCTCTGTACTCACCACAGACCCTGTCCCTCCTGGTCAGGAAACAAAAAAACAGCTTCAGTTGGAAAACGGCACGCAGCCACGCCTCTCCACATGCTTCCTCCTGGGTCAACTCTAGGTTTGAACTGGAGTTTGATTTTTTTTCTTGATAGCTTAAAATAAAATAGATCAGCCTCATATTAGAGCAGCTTTTATTCTCCTGCTGTTAAATGGAAAAAGGTGAGCAATGATGCTGAACTGTCATTATGTGTGTGTAAATGTACACGTCCGTCTGTTAGCAAAATATCTCATGAAACTCTGAATTTTCTGTTGTTAAACTTTCAGAAAATAATCATTAGGCTGATTTTAACTTTGAGGTCAACCTGATTCAACACAGTCCCCACAGCTTATAGACCTTACCAAAGACATAAATGACTTTTATAATACTAATAATAGCTATAATGAATATAACTCAGTCAGCTTTTCAGATWTTTAGATAAGATTTGGTGTGGTGGTAACTGAGAGTCATCACCAACAAATATCTGGAGCACTGAAGGGTCCACCACACTTGATCCAGAGCCCAACAGTCGACTCCCAGTCATGTCGTTGCGGGACACACCTTTCATAGCAGCTAATTAACCTTGACCAACAWAAAACTGGCTATAATTCAGTCTGTTTTACAGAAACTGAGCTAAATTTGATTTTGATTCATTCACAACATATTTTAAACAATAAGATGATGCATGGCACATCACGTTACTTTTAAGGTTTGACTTAAATGAGCAAAATTCTTTGATCGGATTGAAATGCATTCAGATTAAWTAATCCAAATGAGGCAACATGTRTATCTTTTTGGAGGGTGGGCAAAGCAAACTGTCTTCCTTCTTTATTGAATGTGAAAAAGGGAGTAAAAGTTCTGTGCAGCTGGAAACTACAGCACTGCTGTCCCCACCCTCCACAAAACATGATGAACTGATGGATGAAAGTCAGCAGACATGCGCCGTCAGGTCGGTTTTCCACAATCAGAATAAGATCATCAGCTTAAGTGTTTAGATGCACGCCGTTCAGATTATCAATCTGCATAAAGCACCTCTCTCATTCACATTACAAATTCATTCAGAATGAACTGAATTGGATCAGAATATTCTGATCGGGGYGTTTACATGACAGAWTTTTATTCCAAATGCCTGTTTAATCTGATTACTTATCAGAGGTTCTCAAACTGGGATCCCAGGACCCCCAGGGGTCCATGAGCCGTAGCTTGGGGGGCCCTCAAAAAATTACAGTAASTTGTTATTGTTTGTTTTTTTAGCATTGTTTGTGGAACGTTATAAATGTAAAAGAAACATATTAAACTAAATGAAAAATAATTTATTGTCATGGCATTTAGAGGTCAAAATAGTCGTTAATTATTTTCAAATCAGCATGAGGTTTATGAGGGGGTCCCTGGAAATRTTTCACCTTTGTAAGGGGTCCCCAAACCCAAAAYATTTCAGAACCCATGACTTATGTCCATGTTAACATAGCTAGTTATAAAATTGTAATTATTCACAGTAAGATAACATTTAAAACTAGGGGTGTAACAYGATAAATCGAGTAATTGATTAAAGATTCAGTTGTATCAGGGCAAAATGAAAAAAATCAATCMATATCGTCRTCATATGTCTGATGTGGATCGATATATGTTCATTTAACACAGTCATTTWTGTTAGATGGGAATATGATATGGCATCATATCAATTGTGAATTGAAGTCGTATCGTGACAAACTTTGTGATATTGAGAAACATTGTATCATCATCCAAACAAATCAATATAAGATCATATTGTATGAAAAGTTGTAGGCGATAAGGAATGCTAGGCCATAATTGAGTTAATTGTTCAAATCCTATTTTTATTTGTATTTCTGCTTTGGTATTTTACTGCAGTGTGATTGCAGTAAAATAAGTTCTAATTAAGCTTTACACAATTACTTATTATCCTTTTTGAAACAGCTCGTTTCTT